TTACAGAAAACTTTGTTTCTTTTATCTCGGGAAACAAACTAAAAGTAAACATTGTTTCTTTTAACTTGGGGAAATAAACTAAAAAAAACTTTCTCTCTTTTAGCTGGGGGAAAGTGACAGCTGAATTTCTGAGCTATGGTAAAGAAAATAAAAAGCAGTAATTACATTTAAAAACCAGCACCATAATAAATACAAAAACAGCATGGGCCCCCCCCCTCCTATCCATACCAAGCCCTTTGGATCTGGTATGGATTTTGAGGGGACCTCCCACGCCAAAATTAAAAAAAAAAAAAAATGGTGTGGGGGTCTCCCCATAATCCTTTCCAGACCCTTATAAAAGCATGCAGCCCGTCTGGTCAGAAATGGGAGGGGCGTGAGTGAGCTGTACCCCATAATCATTCACAAAAAAAAACAAAAGTGTGTAGTGTGAAAAAAGACAGGACACAGTCTTTGACAAGTCCTTCTGTCACGGACTGACTGGCAGTAGCCTCTAGCGACCCACAGGCCGGAATTCCTCAGGGCGTGGAGTCTAAGCCTCAGTCTGTTGTTTCACCAGGGCCCCTGATGGTGGGGATGGACTTGAAGCAGCCTGAGACCAGGTCGTGACTCCCGAGTACAACCAGCTGTGCTAGAGGTGGTTTTGCCAGTGGTAGGTGGCAGGTGAGAGCCAGATGTGAAGAGGTAGTGTGTAGCGTAGTCAGACAGGCCAGGTCGGTAACAGTAGAGGCAGACGGTACAGATCGGCAGGCAAAAGGATAAACGGGTCACAGGCCAGGTTCAGCAACAGGAGGACAGGTAAACAGGAGAAGGCAGAAGAATGGTCAGACAAGCCCGGGATCAGGGCAGGAGAGGGTCACGATAATCCGGGTCAGGCAGGTTCGGCAACAAGGCAATCTCAGGACTAGGAACAGGATTACAGGAATAAGACCATAGGGCACTGGAGCATTGCAAGACTCGGCTTTAAATAGAGCGCCCTGCGCTGTCATTGGTGACAAGCGAGCGCCCGTGTGCGCAAGTGCACATGCGTGGCCACAACTGCCGCCGCGGGCGCCCAGGTCCTAGCGCCCGCGTGTTAGTGCGTTTTGGCAATCTGCGCATGCACAGACCTATGCACCGCAGCGATCCCTGACACCTTTTATTAAAATAAAAAACTCAAAGAATGTCCCTCGCAGTAGATCCAACGTCAATCACAATGCCTGCCACTGCCGCTGGTCCGAAAAAGGAATTTAAAAAAAAGTTCCACACCCGAGGATGACTTCCAGCCTCTGCTTGCTCCAGTGGTTTGACAGGTCTTAAATATGTAAGGGACAGGGCCACCCAGGGATATCACCCGTGTGACCCCGCCCCATGTGACATCAATGTTGGCGGCGGCAGGCATCATGATTGACTTTGGATCTACTTCCGGGGACATTCTTTTATTTTCCTTCTTTTAATAAAGGACTTGTCAAAGACTGTCTCCTGTCTTTTTTCACACTACACTTTTTTTTGTGAATGGGTAGTGGTACCATGTACCCTATACTCATTCACATGGGGGTGGAGGATCTGGGGGCCCCCTTGCTAAAGTGGCTTCCAGATTCTGGTAAGCCCCCCACCTGCAGACCCCCACAACCACAGCCCAGGGTGGTGGGGAAGAGGCCCTTTTCCCCATCAACATGGGAACAAGGTGCTTTGGGGGGGAGCCCCCTCCGCCCCAAAGCACCCCCCATGTTGAGGGCATGTGGCCTGGTATGGTTCAGGAACAGGAGGGGGGGGTGCTCGCTCGTCTCCATTTTCCTGACCTGCTGGGCTGCATGCTCAGATAAGGGTCTGGTATGGATTTTGGGGAATCCCACGACATTTTTTTTTTTTAAATGTTGGCGTGGGGGTTTCCCTCAAAATCCATACCAGACCCAAAGGGCTTGGTATGGATGGAGAAGGGACCCCACACCATTTTTTAAATTAGTTTTTTAATTGCTGACAATTTTTTATTTTACATTCAGCTGTCAGCGGGGAACCCCTCTGACAGCTGAAAAATTACGGCATGTTTTTCACTACTAAAATACTGCATGACTTGATAAAATAACTTGTGGTATTTTAGTAGCATTTTTTTTGTGAATTCAAACTTTTTTAAAAAAATGCTATGTGGTATCCTACTTACAGTAAGATACCGCTTAGTGAATTGTGCCCAGTGAGCCTCTCACTGGGCTCCCTACTGACAACGGGCCCTCGGGCAATGCCCAAATGGTCAGTCCGCCCCTGGGCTCAAGTAAGCATTAGTGTGCCTGGGGAAGGGGGACCTTGTGCCTTTCCAACACTGTAATTTCTCCAAGAATGTTTACTTCAACTCCTGAAATGGTAAAGAATAAAAAAGACACTCTAGCTAGCCTGCACTGAGAAGTGGTTATCATGATGAAATGTCAATGATTCTTTGCTCTCATTTTACAGGAGTGGTCCAGCTTGTGGTTCAAGCTGGGAGAAAGCCACCTTCATGTCCTCCACTAGCCTTCATTTGTGGCCAGTGGATATTTTGTGGCACCAGGCAAGAACTGGCATCATGGACCTGCATAAACACCCTGGCATACCAGAGGTGGTTTGGAAGCAGCACAGCAACTTGACCATCCCTTTCCTCTATGCTGCTTTTGGAGGTGCATAATTGCTTCTCGTTCCTGAACAAACTTGCAACGGATTTCAGAGTCCCCATATTTTCCAGATGTTTGAGCCGTGTGCTGGCAAAGAGCGGAGCCTGGTTTTGCTTTTCCGAACAACTGGGAGCTGGCAGCCATGTCTTTACATCAGGCCATGTATTTGCCTTTTTTTTGGTTTGTTGAATAAAGACTATTTTTGTTACTAAAAACTGTGTCATATCCTCTTGATTCTATTTCCTAGACTTAAGATGGCCAGATAATATGCAATCTGATGAAAAGTCAGTGCAATTTCCTCAACATGTACCTAAAGTCTGTAATAGAAGGACCTACCGGGACAATGCATTCATTTAGAGTGGGCCAGGCCCATACAGTACATAATGGAGATTTGCTATGAAGGAACTTTCACGTTTGGATACCTGAGCTCATGTGGTTTGGGTCCAAATATTTCTGGCCATTGCAACGTATTGACTATTACAGCTCAACATACATCAGCCCCTAAGGGCTGGTTCACACTATAGAAATGCAGTCTAGATGTGTTCCAGATGCGTTTTTGCCTGAGCATTTTTGACAAAATTTTAGCATTTTCCAGTGCGTTTGTGATGCGTTTTTGATGCATTCCAGTTAATTTTTTTCATTAATTTCAATGGGCTGCCTAACGTGTGGGAACATGCAAAAATACTGCAGACATATTATTTTAAAAGTGTGTTACACCTAACCGCACAGTAGTAATGTGGTAACATGCGTTTTGGTGGCTGTGAATGCATCTGTGTTTACCAGATGTGTGGAGGTGCAATTAAGTATTCATCATGGTACCTGCACACATCTGTAAAGGGCATTGGCTTTCTTTGCTGTGCAGGAAAATGCATTCTCTTGCATGTGTTTTTGCACCACAAATGGTGTGAACAAGTCCCAAGGACCAGTTCCCACTATAAAAATGCAGTCTAGATGTGTACCAGATGTGTTTATGCATGCACGTTTTTCATGCATTTTTAGCGTGTTCCAAGGCATTTTTGATGCATTCTACTGCATTTTTTTTATGCATTCCAGTTAATTTTTTCCCCCTCTATTTTTCTTCAATCTAATTAGGGACATGTACTTTCCGGTGCACTTTTGTTGTGTTTCAGGGCCTTTTTGGTGCGTTTTACCACGTTCCTGTGCAGAAACAATGCAGCCTGTTCTACTTTTTTTTCTGCACCCGGAACGCACTGGAACTGCAAGCACTGATGTGAACTATGACATTGACAACCATATAACCTACTTTCTGTGCGTTATGGATGCAGAAAAAAAAAGCAACTGAAATGCATGTAGTGTGAACTGGCCCTAAAGGTTATTATAGGTAAGGGAATGGGACTAACCAGGAATTGTGAATGCAATCACACTAGTGGTGAGATACAATTAGGAATCTTATAATAATGCGAGATCTGAGCTGTAGGGGATAGGAAATGAGACACATTAATAAGATCAGTATATAAAGAGTTAAATAAAAAGAGTTGAGCGGTGATACATAGGTTTGCAGATGGAACATGTGATGACAGGGAGGGTCAAGTTGTATAAGGAGAGAGGTTTGTAGCAGTGAACAGAAAGGGATTAGCAGTCTGGGGGAGAGGAAAGAAATAAAGTTGCAATCAAATGTAACCAGAAAGAAGCTTGAAAGTGTCAAACTTGTCAGAAGAACAGGAACGCCTGTAACATCACAACCCTGAGCCGCTGTGTGATAGAATGACAGGAGGCTAACAATGGAATGCAGCAGCTGTAGATGGCCCTGTCAGCCATCAGGGCCCCGTACAGGAGGGCCTGGGGTACCCCCTTATCAGTGACCCTGCATACACCAGTCAGCTCTTCTACTCCCTCTCCACTTTCTAGTCAGTAGCAAAATCTTAATTTATCGATCAATATTCCTAGCACTGACAGAACCCTAGAAATTGACCTCCATACTTTGGTCAATCACAAAAGTCTGTAATGTCAAGGAGCTTACAATCTAAGGCCAGAAACTCAGACATATACTAGGCTCAATTACCTAACAGCATGTCTTTGGAGTGTTGGCAGAAACACACCCAGAGAAAGCATGCAAACTCCAGACAGGTGTGGCCATGACTGGGATTAGAACCCATGACCCAAGTGCTGCAAGCCATGAGTACAACCACTAAGCCACTGTAATAGACAGAGTTTGAGCTGGAATGTAGAATAGTAAGATGATTAACCACCTCCCGCCTGCCATATAGTAATATGACGGACGTAAGGTGGTTCTCTTGTTCTGGGAGGACGTCATGTGACGCAGTGATCGGCGGTGCGCTGTGTCCCTCGGACACAGCAGATCACTGATCAATGGAAAGAGCCAAAGATGTCGGCTCGGTCATGTGATCAGCTGTGTCCAATCACAGCTGATGACATGTAAACAGGGAAATGTCGGTTATCGGCATTTCTCTCCTCTTGAGCTGTCATGCTCACAGCTCGTGAGGAGAGCCGGTAATCGGCTTTCCGCGGAGAGGATATGTACACTGATGATCAGTGTGCCCTGATGATCAGTGTAGCCCCAGAAGTGCCACCTGTCAGTGTCCATCAGTGCCTTATGCCAGTGCCACATCAATGCCACATATCAGTGCCTACCAGTGCACATCAATGCCACATATCAGTGCCTATCTGAGCTGCCTTTCAGTGTCACTGATCAGTGCCAGTCAGTGCCACCTGTCAGTGCCGCCTATCAGTGCCATGTATCAGTGCTGCCTTTCAGTGCCCATCAGTGATGCCTGTCAATGCCCATCAGTGCCACCTACCAGCAGGGGCGGACTGACTATTTGGAAACTCGGGCATTGCCCGAGGGCCCGGGGTCAGTAGGGGGCCCCATGAGATGCCCCTGGTACCTTTTTCATATTTTTTTTTTAGTTTGGGCAAGGACACAGGGGCCCCATGATCCCCTATTGCCCGGGGGCCCCATGAGTTGTCAGTCCGCCCCTGCCTACCAGTGCCTCTTCATCAGTGCCCATCAGTGCCACCCCATCAGTGTCCATCAGTGCAGCCTATCAGCGCCCATAACTGCAGCCTCATTAGCGCACATCAGTGAACGAGAAAAATTCACTTATTTACAACATTTTATAACAAAAACTATTTTTTTTCAAAATTTTCAGTGGTTTTTGGTTTGTTTAAGAAAAAATAAAAAACCCAGAGGTGATTAAATACCACCAAAATAAAGCTCTATCTGTCACAAAAAAATGATAAAAATTTCATATGGGTACAGTGTTGCATGACCGTGCAATTTTCATTCAAAGTGCAACAGTGCTAAAAGCTGGAAATTGGCCTGGGCAGGAAGGGGGTCTAAGTGCCCGGTAGGCAAGCGGTTAAAAAGAATATACGTTTGAAAATGTTTGACATTTGAAAATAGGATGTATGACTTCGTAACATTCATTAAGAAATGCATTAGTTGGCTGATAATTTTTGGAGAAAAAAAGGCAAGAAAATTAATAGAGGCAACAATAATAGCAGCAAACACAGAAAATAACTAAAAAAATGCCATTAAAACAAGGCACACCTATGAGTTTTCTCACCTGGCATACAAATAAACAGGAACGGGACAAAGCCCGTGCTTGTGCGCCACCTAGGGACCATATTCGGCATTGCTCCTACAATTGCATCTACTCTGGTCAGAGATTTACAAAGAGAATTCAGCCTGCTTACAGACGTTTTTCAGTCTGCCTGCAGACTTGATAACGCCCTATGGGAGGGGCGAAACGCGTTGACGCATTTCCAGTCCACACTCCATGCGCCTGACGTCATTTCCGGTGAGTGGAACGCACGCTGAGCGGTGCGTTCCAGCGGCCATCTTGGTTCACTGTTTGGTCTAAGAGGAGTCCTGTCTTTGTTCCACTGTGGATGTGAGAGTCCTGGAAGGAAAAGTTTGTATATCTGCTGGAACTGAAGCCTTTTATACATAACAAACATGCCTTTAGCAAGTGTTTAACATGTGAGTGGCCTTAATCTCCATTTGGAAAAAGTTACTATTGTGTGACAATATTATGCTATGTGAGTTTTTTTCTTTTGGTTGGATGGTGGAGTCTATTCGGAGGGTGAAGATTTTCCCTAGCGTGGCACCAAAGAGGGTTTAGGATCCCTAAAAATTCCTTAAAGGTCTTTTACTCACCAAGTTCTGGTGAGTGTATTCGATGTTGGTTTGTGCACTGGTGGAAGGTGAAAGTATTTTCTGAAGAAAAGAAGTTTGCACTTTTATTTCTACAATTTAATTATGTTTTCAGCACATGGACTTTTGGGTGTTTTTGTTTAAGATTAAGGGCAAACACGAATAATTTATGCACCTATTTTATATGATTTATTATATTGATTAATTATCTAAATTTGCGCTGTTTATTTATATTTATATTGCAGATGTTATTTGCCTGTAGACATTTTTTTTTGTACACTGAAAGGTCTTAATTGATTTAATTAGGTCTGGCTGAATGTTCAGCTTCTGCTGTTGGACACTATTCTTAGTAAATCATGGCCATGGTGTCACACTCTAATCAGCTAATTAACACAAAACACCTGTAAAGGTTTCCTGAGCCTTTAAATGGTCTCTCTGTCTGGTTCAGTAGGTTATGCAATGATGGGGAAGACTGCTGACTTGACAGATGTCCAGAAGACAGTCATTGATACCCTCCACAAGGAGGGTAAGTCACAAAAGGTAATTACTAAAGAAGCTGGCTGTTCACAGAGTGCTGTATCCAAGCATATTAATAGAAAGTTGAGTGGAAGGAAAAAGTGTGGTAGAAAAAGGTGCACAAGCAACAGGGATAACCGCAGCCTTGAGATGATTGTGAAGCAAAGGCTATTCAAGAATTTGGGGGCGATTCACAAGGAGTGGACTACAGCTGGCGTCAGTGCTTCAAGAGCCACCACACACAGACGTATCCAGGACATGGGCTCCAACTGTTGCATTCCTTGTGTCAAGACACTCCTGAACCAGAGACAACGTCAGAAGAGTCTTACCTGGGCTAAGGAGTAAAAGAATTAGACTGTTTGCTCAGTGGTCCAAAGTCCTCTTTTTTGATGAAAGTAAATTTTGCATTTAATTTGGAAATCAAGATCCCAGAGTCTGGAGGAAGAGAGGAGAGGCACAGAATCCAAGTTGCATGAGGTCCAGTGTGAAGTTTCCACAGTTAGTGATGATTTGGGGAGCCATGTCATCTATTGGGGTTGGTCCACTGTGATTTACCAAGTCCAAAGTCAGTGCAGCCCTCTACCAGGAAATTCTAGAGTACTTCATGCTTCCCCTTGCTGACCAGCTTTATGGAGATGCTAATTTCATTTTCCAGCAGGACTTGGCAAAATGCATATGAAATCTCACGTAAACTGTAGTCTCTGTATAATCTGTGCAGTTTTTCCATCATTTTTTATGCACATATGGTGTGAATGAGGCCTTATGGTGCATTGCTTCTCATTTGCTGTGTCGCTGCTTCACAATAATCTGTAGTCCCAGAAGGGGTAGCACAAAGACTGCAGACGGCAACGTGAGGGCTCTATAAAGACCCTACTAGGTGGCCACCACAAAGGAGGATGTCAAGTTGGGAAACAAATTAGACAGATCTTGGGATGTGCAGATGCCCCTGCCAGCAGAAAAAAAATAGGCATACAATAATGTAAGCGATTGAAGCTATGTGATACTAATTTTGGGTTTAATTATACTTCAAATTACAACATTTTATTTGGTTCAAACTTTACGGCCTTACTCACACTGGCATTAGAAATAAGCATTTGGGGTGCATTTTTGCAGCACCTTGGATGCCTAGTAAAGCAGATTAAAATGTATAAAGTGGACAGAGCTGTTCACATTTGAAAAGCATGTAGCACTTGTGTCACTTCCTGTTGTTGTGCAGCAAAAATGAAGCTACATTTCGAGTCTAGCAGAAGGTGAAGTTTGTCAACTCTTTCCACGTAAAGTGCCAAAAATTCGGCATGCAAGCCTTCAAAAGTAAGAACTTGCAGACTGGCCTATGGTCAAATGATGGCCGGGCGAACACTTCGTCCCTCCGGGAGGGCGTCATATCATGTCCTTCCTGGATTGCACTGTGTGCGTGCTCGCAGGTCCCCGCTGTGGCGAGATCTGTCACCGGCCATGTACCTTTGACAGATCTATGTACCGGCCCCCGTTGCCGGTACCATGTTACCTGCTGTGACCAATCACAGCAGGTCACATGACAGTTGTATGTATGTATGTATGCTTCCTTTAATGAAATCCATTGTAAACAACTGTGTCTAGCTGTGAATGGTCACAGTGATCACATGCACAGACTGGGCCAATCACAGCCCATCTGTGTCATGTGATTGGCCATGGCCAATCACAGCTAATCACAACAAAAACAACATGAATGAATCCAAATGCTTGCTTATAGCAAAGAAATATTTTGCTATAAGCAATCATATTGTGTAAAAAAAAAAAAGAAATAATAAAAAAATCAAAAGAAATTGAAAATAAATTATCTTTTTTTTTTTTTTTTTTTGTACTGTCACCAGTCAGTATCCCTGATCACCGCCACACCAATTATATGCTGACGCTGTACTGCACTGGTGACAGTATGTAAAAAAAAAAAAACTGTGAAAATAATATTTTTAATTTCTTAATTTTCCGAAAATTATGACAAAAAAATTACTACTTCAAAAAACTCGCCATGCCTCTTATGAAATACATCGGATTGTCTACTTTGTGAAAAGGTGTAATTGGGGGGATATCTGTACTGTTCTGACATTTTTGGGCCTCAAGAAATTAGATTGGCTGTCAGTACTTCAGGATTGATCAATTTTCAGATCTATCCCATAGTTTGTGAACTCTATAACTTTCCTACAGACTAAATAATAAATACTGATTTGGGTTTTTTCATTATGTAGCAACATACATCTTGGCCTAAATTTATGAAGAACAATTATTTGCCTTTTTTTTGTTAATTTAGCAAAAAATAAAACCGCCAGAGGTGATTAAATACCACCAAAAGAAAGTTCTGTAAACAAAATGATAAAATTTTAGTCTGGGTACAGTGTTGCTTGACCGCGCAATTGTCATTCAAAGTGTGAGAGTGCTGAAACCTGAAAATTGGCCTCGGAAGGAAGGAGGTAAAAGTGGCAGGTATTGACGTGGTTAAGCCACACGCGTTAAAAGGTGTAATCAATAAAAAAAAATATATAAAAAGTGCTGCACTATAGAAAAATAAATAAAAAGAAAAATAGCAACTGCAAGAAAACAAAAACTGTGCCGCCCTGGCGGTATGATTATTTCAGATTTTTGGTGCTGAAAGCGGTACCATTATTTTGCATGGAAATTTGGCGTTTTATATTGTAGGCCTGTAATTCTTAGGAATATCTCACTGAAATTTGTCTGAACAAGAGTCTAGTGTAAATATCCCGGGTAGGATAAAACTTGGAATATGAAATCATAAATTATAATTTAATAATCATAAAAAATAATAATATAATAAATTTAATTCAATAATATAATCAAACCAAAAACACTGAAATTTGAAATATAGCGCCAAGTTTGCACATCACTGAGCAAAGTCGCAAAATTGTTTTCAGTGTCTGATGACGAATTTCCCCACGAATCATCACTCAATTCTGCAAGTGGTTCTGATTTACTATCGCTGTTCTCTAGCTGGTCTAAAACCGCTTTTGACCTAAAGGGACGCTTTTTGGACGCCATGGACGTTTCTCAGTTTACAGGCAGAAAGAACAGTCAAAATGCAGGCAGGGCACAGGACAAAGCACTAGGGACAAAATGTATGTGAAAT